CTCTCTCTCTCTCTCTCTCTCTCTCTCTCTCTCTCTCTCTCCGTGTGTTACATGCTGCGCCTGCACACGAGGGCCATTTTCCAGGCCCTGCGTCCCTCAGGCTGAAAGCCTGAACACCAGGGCCTACAGGCCCCGTGTCTGTTCAGCCCGAAAGCCTGAAAACAGGGGTCTACAGACCCTGAGTCGTTTCAGACTAAAAATGGCAATAGTCTTTTTAGCCTGAAACGAAGGGCCATTTTCGGTCGTTCATCAGAACGACCGGCCCTGAAACTCAGGCACCGAACCAGGGTTTCGGGAACAGGCTATTTTTAGCCTGTTCCCACGACAGCCTCAGCAGAGGCTGCAGCGCCAGCCCCTGGCACACTTCGGCATTGGCAAGAGCAGCCTCCTCGGCCTGGCTCGCCCTTCAGGCAGTCAGGAGGCAGGCCGAGGTAGTACATAGGGACTTCGCATGCACTTCACGGGGAGGCAGGAGGCAGTAGTCTTCAGGATTCGGCAGCAGCACTCTGGAGGGAGCGCTCCAGAGTAGTAGTAGCGTTAGCTTGTAGTCTTCAGCGCTGGGCGCAGTAGGTAGCTGTAGTCTCCAGCGCTGGGCGCCATAGCTAGATAACACTAGAGAGAGGGAGAGATTGGGCGGAGGCCAGAGGTACTTACCTGCAGCGCCGTTGCTCCAGCTTCGTCTTTGAGGTACCTGCAGCACAGCGCCAACTTCACAGGTTAGTACCTGGCTCGTAACAGAGAGAGAGAGTTCTTCTTCTTCCTCTTCTCAGTCCACCTTCTCCCTCTCACCCTCTCATCATCTGACTTCACTGCATCAGCAGACTACGAGAGAAGAGAGAGAGAGCTTGGTGACATTGGATCCAGACTCGACTTTTGGGCTTCAGACATTGCAACGAGGGATTATTTGGGACTTTTGACAAAGACTTGGTGGTGACGACGTTCCCATCTCTCCCCCCTCCTCCTCGTCTGATCCCCTCCTCTTCGTCTGTGTATGTCTGGACCTGGTGCTTCCTTCCTATGTACAGCGCCAGGCTCCTTCACACCGTGTGATGAGCATGATGTATGTTTGGTCTACGTTGAAACATTGATTGGGGTAGTCATCAGTATTCTAGCATTCTGCTTCGCTATCTTGTACTACGTGATGAAGGTCAGTCTCGGTCAGGTCAGGTCTTGTATCTAAATCTTCCACTGCGCTATTCAACACCATTTTGTATGTATCGAAATGCACATTGCTAGTTGAGATTCCACTTGCACAGCATTGTCCATTCAGTCCTTTTTATCACATTGCGAATCCTCGGTTATTATGTACATCGCGCATCTGGGCATGTAACACACTTTCTCTCTCTCGTAATCTGCTGATGCAGTGAAGTCAGATAGCGAGAGAGTGAGAAGGAGATGGTGGACTTAGAAGAGGAAGAAGAAGAACTCTCTCTCTCTCTCATATGCCAGGTACTAACCTCCGAACATGGCGCTGTGCTGCAGGTACCTCGAAGACGAAGCTGGAGCAACGGTGCTGCAGGTAAGTCCCTCTGGCCTCCGTCCAATCTCTCTCTCTAGTACTACTCTAGCTGCTATGACGCCCAGCGCTGAAGACTACAGCTAACGCTACTAGCGCCCAGCGTTGAAGACTACTGCTAACGCTGCTACTACTCCTGCAGCGCTCCTCCTGAGTGCTGCTGCCGAATCCTGAAGACTACCTCCTGCCTCCTGAACTGCACGTGAAGTGCTTGGGAAGCACCTAGGAACTACCTGCCTGCCTGCAGGGCGGGCCAGTCCTATATACTGCTGGCCCGTCCAGGAGGCTGCTCTTGCCAATGCCGAAACGTGCCAGACCCTGGCGTTGAAGCTCAACCAGGGGTGTTCTTGAAAACAGCCCCGAAATGGCCTGTGCTAAAACCCTGGTTTGTTGCCTGAGTTTCAGGGCAGGTCGAACTGATGAGGGCCCGAAAATGACCCTCAGTTTCAGGCTGAAAACACTCAGGGC